CAAGATCCCGTTCCTGGCAATTAATCTTAAAGAATAAAACTAACCTGTAATTTTAAGACAAAATCTAGGATTTAGTTTTTTTGCTTAAGTTTAGGAACATGAATGACTGTTACATCACCCTTGAAGTGGAGATCATAAAAATTATGCCTTGCTATTTGGGGGAACTTTCAAGGAAGCCTACACGTGAGTGCATGGAGTTTGAATCAGAACTACCTGCGTGGAAATAAGTAACCCAGACCAAGGAAATAACATTAAAAGTAGTCTTTCTCTGGTAAAACACTTAAGATTCAGCAGAAGCAAATGAGAAACTGCTTGATGGGGACGTCTTCGCACCTGAAAACCCTGGGATGCCAATAGTAAAAAATTTCAGTGAAGATGAGCTCATGTAAAACAAACAAAAAAAACCCACACAATTCTAGGCTTCAAGACCTTCAACTACAAGGAGCATAATTGATGAAGGTTCTTACATTCTGTACTCTGAATCTATCACTCTTCCTAAAGCCATGCTTTCCAAGGGCAACTCCCAGCCAATGACTGAGTGTGGCAGAGATACTGGGGCAGGCCACTTCTTGAAAGACACAGGACCTTTGATAGCTGTCTTTAGAGTGCAGATTTCCCAGAGGTTTTTCTGAACCCCCACCCCCCTTCAGACTATGGAACCATTGGGAAAGCTTCCATTCAGCCTTCCTTCCCTCTCTTCTTTACTCATGGTTAAGGTTGCGTAATAGTCTGATGGTTCTCTCAGCATTCTCCAGCTCCTAAGTTGTATTAATGGCCTGCAGGAAGATATAGGCAGACTGAGGACTGTTAGGAAGCAGTATTGCTAAGTGTGAGAGTCAGAGAATTTCTGTGGTAGCTCTCAAAGAGGCCTTTATCCCTTGCAGTAGAGGAACAGATAAAGCTAAGAGGCAGACTGAGACCTAATCATTAGAGTCTCAGAGCCAGAGACATTTGAATGTTCAGCCAAGGCAGGTCTATTCAGGGATCTGGTGCGGAAATGTACAATACTGAAATGTGGGATAAAGATATCTGGATGATGGCTCAAGGATGTTGACTCTGCAACTTTCCCAAACCTCTGGGCTTGCAGAGGTGGCCCACCTTCCCTAATAAGGGCTAGTAGTTCTATGGTGCTGGAATATGCTGTAGAAACATCACCTCCATTACAGATGCCACCTTCAGGACCATCCTCATCTCCTCTCCTTTGGGTTAAGCCATTAACTAGGATTAAGCCCAGTGTACTATGGCTGAGGTTATGCTGGGCCTGGTAAGTAAAGAGGCTCAATAGCCAAATAACTGCAATAATTAGTCACCATATATTTGCAGGAGTCAGGAGAATTCTCCTGGGATTGGATTTTGAGGAGCCTTGATAAAGGGGCTGGAATATAAGGTGGGATAAGATAGAATTAATTGACTTAAGAGCACTTTCTTGAGGCAGGGGATTTAATACCCTACTGAAGTTGTTAAGGGATGTGACAAACTCACTGTTGGGGTGCCTCTTAGAAGACTGGATAATGCAGTGCCCCAAACTCATGAAGTAGAAATACCTGAGTTGCCCTGGCACATGGAAAGGAAGGAATTAAAAAACAAAAAACAAACAAACAAAAAAAAAAAACCAGGAGGTCGGCATGCTGAAGTGGATATATTCTATGAGACCAGAAGAACCATCAGAGGATGCTATTCCATCAGAGAGACCAGAGAATAGCCAAGGCTATGATATGCTAGGAGAGGGGCATCAACATCTCAGTGGTTGCCTCCTCTGTATACCAGAGTTTATGGTAAAAGAGGGAGTCACAGTGCTGGGCTTATTGACATACTTAGAGGTGATGGAGCCCTGGAAAGCTATGCAACTGCAAGAAAAACAAAGGCAACAGCGGAGGATCAGGAAACTGAGGAAGATTACCGCCATAAAATGTCACAATCCCTTGCTCAATTCCTCAAATGATCTAATTTTCAGATCTGGAACCTGCTGACTGAAGAGGTGACCAGGTGCTTAGGAAGATGGACCCATTAGCACCATGGCAAGAATATACTAGGACAATTCCTTCAGTTCTTTCCTTGAGAGACTAGGACCACTTACTCAAATGGGGGAAGGGGAATAACCAGACATATTGAGAATTAATGGGCACAGAGTCTGAGATGACATCAATATTTGGAGTCCCAAAGTGTCACCATGGCATCCTTTGTTAGAGTGAGAGCCTATGGAAGCCAAGGGATAAATAGAATCCTGGAGGATTGCAAAATTGGAGTTGAAATACTTGGAAATTGGAGAAACCCTCCATAGGGGATTTATGGTCTGTGGAATGAGTTATCTTTGCAAGGCCATGTAGAAATCTTAAAATTTCCTAACCTTCTTCTTCCCCATCCAAGATAGTAGACCCCCAAAATATTATATCTTGGGGTGAAGGAATGGTGGAGATTAGTGCCATCATGAAAGATATAAAGAATGCAGATCTAAATGTCTCCATTTAATTCACCAGTCTAGGGGCGCCTGGGTGGCGCAGTCGGTTAAGCGTCCGACTTCAGCCAGGTCACGATCTCGCGCTCCGTGAGTTTGAGCCCCGCGTCAGGCTCTGGGCTGATGGCTCAGAGCCTGGAGCCTGTTTCCGATTCTGTGTCTCCCTCTCTCTCTGCCCCTCCCCCGTTCGTGCTCTGTCTCTCTCTGTCCCAAAAATAAATAAACGTTGAAAAAAAAATTATAAAATAAAAAAAAAATAATTCACCAGTCTAGCCCCTTCAGAAACTGGATGGATTCCAATAGTTCTATAGACTACTATGACAGTAGCAGCCCCAAGTACAGCTGCAGTACCAGATAAGGAGTCATTCCTAGAGCAGACTGTAAGGGCTGAGGCTCAAGGTAGGCAGCCATTGTTTCGATAAACACATTCTTTTTCATTCTAATTAGAAAAGAGGGTCGGAAACAGTTTGCATTCTCATGGCGTGGAAAATAATATTCACTTGCAATTTAGCCTCAGTTCTATGTTTTTCTCACCCGCTGATATGGTATAGTCTGAGGAGGACTTGACTACCTGGGCATCCCACAAAACATCACACTGATTTATTTCATAGATGACATCATGATATCATGATGACATCATGACAGGTTGAACAAGAGGTGACTAGTATGCAGGGCTTTGGTAAACCGTGTATGCTCTAGTGGGTATGAAGATTCAGGGTCAGGCACTTCAGTGAAGATTTTAGGGGTCCAGTACTCAGGGGCATGCTGGAATAGCTCCTTGAAAGCGAAAGACAAATTGCTGTATCTTGTATTTTCTATCACATGAACACAAAAGAAAATGAAAAAAAGAAAGAAAGAAAGAAAGAAACAGCATTTGGTAGGACTCTTTGAGTTCTAGAGGCAACTCACCCCACATCTAGGGATATTGCTCTTACCCCTGTATCAGGGATATGGAAAGCTGCTAGCTTCGAATGCAGTTCAGTGCAGAGAAGTATACTATATCACATCTAGAATGTGGTGCAATCGGCCCTGCCACTTGTGTCATATCACTCAGGAGACCCTGTGGTGGAGAAGGGATCACTGGTGGAAAAAGATGCAGTATGGAGTTTATTCCACACTCTAGCAGGAGAACCATAATGCAGACCTCTGGGATTCTGAAGTAAGGCCATGGCATTTGCAGCATTACCTTTTGAAAAATAGAGAAATAGTTCTTGGCTTGTTACTGGACCCAAATAGACATAGGACAGTTTACCGTGGGACTCTAAGTGACTGTGCATCTGGAACGGCCAACAATGAGCAGGGTTCTACTAGAGCCACCAGATTATAAAGTCACATGGCCCCAAATCAGTCTATTACAAGATGGAAATGGTATATCTGGGATTGAGCCTAAGAAGAGCTGGAGGCCACGAGTAAGCTGCATGATCGGATGGCTCAGATCCCATGTCATCCACTACGTTCATACCAGTGCCTCTCTCCCAGCTTGTACCTATTGCCAAATGAGTTGCTTATGGGTGGCTCTGCCTGTACTTGCGTGCAAGCTGAATGTTGACAGTGGCTGCTTTATAGCTTCATTTAGTATGGCCCTGGAAGACAGTGGGGGGAAAGAATCTTTCCAGTGGACCGATCTGTGAGCTTTCCTTCATCTTGTGGAAAGTAAAGTGGCCTAAAGTGGGAATATGGATCCTGGGAGGTGGCCGATGGCCTGGACATCTGATAAAGGACTTAGAAAAAAAGGATTGGGAGATTGGAGAAAAGGAAGTCTGGGGTAGAGTCTTGAGGCTAAACATTTGGAAGTGGGCACAAAGCACAAAACTTTTGTTTCATACATTAATGCCCATCAGAAAGCATTCACCATGGAAGAAGAGGCACTGAACAACTAAGAGGATACAATTATTTGGGCAGTTGACATTAGCCAGCCTTCATCATTAGTGGAAGAAATAGAGGCAACATATTCGTCCAGTAGTATGGACTTCTTACCAGTGCAGATAGCTAATGCTATCTATGAATGTCCAAATTATTAGCAACACCATGCCTCCCTTATGGCACTATTCCTTTAGAAGACCAACTGGCTACTTGGGGGCAAGTTGACCACATTGAAACTTTTCCATCCCAGACAGGCCAGTGGTTCATTCTCATAGGAACAGATACCTGTTCTTAGGAAGACTTGCTTTATCTGCCTGTAAAGCTTCCTATCAACACTACTATCCAGGGACTTCTAGCATGCCTGATCTACATGCAGAGTATTCATTCTGAATATCATGTGACCAGGGAATCCACTTCACATCGAAGGAGGTGTTGGAATGTACTCAGGTCCATTGGTTGTATCACATATTGTACCCAGACGCTGTCAGCCTCATAGACTGCGGTAATGTCCTTTGAAAGCAACAGAAGTGCCAGCTTGGAAAAAACACTCTGGGAGGATGGAGTGACTTCCTTTAGTATGCAATGCATTTACTAAATCAGAGCCTCCTATTTGGTGCTGTGTACCCAGTAGAAAGGGAACATGAGTCAAAGAATGAAGGGGTGGAAGAGGAAGTGAGCCCATTTACCACCACTCCCATTAACCCATTAGAAGATTTTGTGCTTTCGGTCTCTGCTACTGATGAGGAACACTTTCTTGCTAGAAGACACAGAAAGACTCCCCAAGAACTACAGATTATGGCTGCCATGAGGATGCCTCGGAGTCCTCTGTCCCAGGATCAGCAGGCAAAAAGAAGTTTCACCACACTGGTAGAGGTAATTGACAATGATCACAGGAGGAGATAAGGCTGCTTCTACACAATGGGAAGGGAGGATTACATGTGGCACACAGATGATCTACTTGGATGTTTCCTGGTACTCTTGACCTATTTTAACTATGAACAAACATGTGTAGCTACCCAGAACTGTGAAGGATATGATTTTCAAGGGCTCAGATAATCAGAAATGAAGGTTTGGGTCACGTCAGGAGGTAACTCACCCAGGTCTACTGAAGTGATAGCTAAGAATGTGGGGAAGAATGAAGACTGGGGGAGGGAGAGGAGGAAGACTCGTTATTGTCTTGAAGTCAATTGCAATGATGAGGGTTGTTGTTCATCCATTAACTTCCCTCTTTGGAGTTTTCCCTCAGGAAGAAAGGCTCATAGGAAAAGTGGAAGAGAAGCTGCCTGAACCTAAGTGGAAAAGTGGATCCATGTGGCACAAGGGGTGGATTATGAAAATAAACCTCACAAATCCCCTACTGTAAGGAGGGTAATGGACCAAAGACCCAAGCTGGGGCACTCTGACATCCATAGCCCTGTTTATATTGAGGCATTGCCTCCCATGGGCTGCTCCTAGCCAACAACTCTGAGTGGCAAAAATTCTAAAGCAAGCCTGTTCCAGATGGTTCACCTTGGCTCAAGGACCACTGACACTCTTGCCAAACCTCTCCTAGACTGTATGGGGATCTAGCATGTTTCCACCCAACCTTCCCTCCCACTCTCCTTCCCTTAGGGGCCACCTTTGCATAAATATCTGATGGTTCTTCCAGCTTTCCCCATCTCCCTCCCCATTTTCTTTCATAGATACTTCTCCTAATAAGACCTTTGCATGCTTAATCCCATTTTGGCAAAAAATGTAAATAGTTCTGAAGTTGAGAAACTTTGGCTTACAGAGATAATAACAGCAGGAGCTGAGTATCAATATTAGCTCAACTACTTTGTGATTCCCTGGAGATAGAACTCCTGAGGATTGGGCCAGATGGCAAATGGCGCACCAAGAAAAATGATATTTCTGAGAAGCAGTTGGACTAAGATTAACAGTATTCTGCTTCCAAGGGGTTTGGTCAGAAGTGACTTTCTCTGAGAAACCATGGTCTTAACAACGCTTGTCCACTCTGGCTTCCCTCCTTCCTTCCTCCCTTTCTTCTTTCGTTGTTTCATTCCTTAATCCCCATACCCCTTCTCTCTTCTCTTTCCTTTTCTCCCCTTCTCTCTTTTCTGGCCCCAGTGACTTTTTGTCTCTTGCCTTAATATTGTATAGTTAGTAAATGACAATGATTACTCAATAGTTCCATCATGAAAACACAATTCTCATGCAAGCAGTTTACAATGACTTTTAGTTTGAAATTTCTCATGGTTCGGTTTCGGATAAAAGGTGAATGTTCTTGGAAAGTTTGAACTTAATCAGAAAAGTTATTTTAGAATTATGCTCTTAGGGTAATTGCTGGGCTTTTAGATCTGGAAATATTTTCTTACCAGTTATTGTCCACTGATTGCTAGGAGATTTGGGTTAATAAATTTATCACTTAATAATTTTTTCCTCCTCTTCAGTTCTTACGCATTTGCACATATTCATTCAGTTTCACTTCTACGGTTAGCACTGCACCCCCAAGTTAAAGCCGATTTTAGTCCAACGTCAGGTTCTAACTGGGTCAGGTTTGCTAAGAATCAAGCCCACTTTTGTCAATTCTTTTCATAAAATTGGTCTGGGTTTCAAGAACATAATGAAACCAGAATGTGGGGGAGTTTAGAATATAGTCTGGTCTCAATTCGTCTGCTCTTTGAAAACCACGGTCTGGTTTCAACCCAACTAAACTTGGATAGTTTAATTTAAAAAAAGTAGTGACTAGAAAATCCCATCAATCCATGGAGCACAATAGCACTCTTCTAAGGACAATAAACCCAGAAGAAAAGGAAGCATGGAAGTTTTCTTGTTAGGTTTGCCAATAAAGTGATAGATATTCTAAAATAATGTTTCAGAATTTATGAGTGATAGCCTCTTCAGAAAGTGATCATGGGTATCTAATCAGCCCTATTTATGTCTCATATCTCTATATTGATCAGTTTTCTTCATCCGTGTTCCCAAATGCCTTGCCTCACCTGCAGGCCCTGTTTTTCCTAACTGAAGTTTTAAGGGTTTTAAAATTCTCAGTCCTTCACTGAATGAGGCTTGCATTAGTCACTATCCAAGACTTAGATCCAATGTAGTTCTGACCATGGGACTCTCACTTTGGAAAATGGCCACTGGGCTCCTGCCATACTCAGGTAAGGCTTAGATTTCCTCTAAGTCCCTTTGTCTGCATCTCAGAGGACTGAGTTTCTGCTTTGAGACTTTTGAGTGTCTTGCTCTGTCTTGCCCTTCCCCTGGGGCCAGAAACCCTGACCTGATCTCCATCTTTGTATCTTGGGGCCTGGGGCTCATCAGTATGTGGACAGGCTTTCTGAATAAAGAAGTATCAGGCTACTAGCTGCCTGGAGTCCTACTTTTTGTGCTCTACTCACTGTGTACAATCTCTTTTCCGTGGGCTCCAGTGCTGTTACTTAAATTGTGCCCTGTGAAGGTTTGGCGTAACCCACCATCTAGTCCCCCAGGGGCCTGAAGTTCAGCTGCAGTTCTGCAGTAGTGATGGCTCATGAGAGAATCAGCCTTCCTCCCCATGTTACACTTGCTTTGTGTGGCCATGGAGTAGGGTCATGACTCCTACACGAATCTAAGATGTTCATCCCTGTTCTAGTGCTGCCACCATTACTGAAAATGTTCTTGGTATTTGAAGGCCTGTATATAGCACAATCCTTCCAACATCTTCAAAGGTAACACTTATTTGTATGAATGATAATTTGATATTCCCTCCCACCAACAACAATTTCCTCATTATCTGAGGGATGTTGGTGGTTAAAACACCAAGATATGACCATACAGTAATAAGACACTGCATTTTTTTCCCCTCCATAAAAATGAGAATAATTCCAAAAAGTGGCATCCCAGGGATTTTCTGAACAATGACAGTATCACTGGAAAAATATAACCTTCCAAGACGACATATTTGAAGGGCTGCAGTCATTTGAATTTGCAATTTTAGATAAAGCGATTGAACCTTTTATCACTGAAAGTTTTTGTTTTGTTTTGCTTTTTAACTATAATGAGTTGTGGGAAGCCAGTCAGCCTTACATTTCCTTGGAATTCTCTTTGTGACATAGTGGAGCATCGCCTTGAATGTAGGGCCCCAAGAAGAACTTCTCTTTCTCTTGCTTCCTTCTGCCAGGGAAGAGGCTGGCATGGTTAGGAGCCTTCAACTGCACTCCCATAGCACATCAAAAGATACTTTTAAGTAGGAATTCTGACATAGAGGAATTGGCCAGATAATTTTAAAAATGCTTAGGGTTAGTTCTTGAATTTTCTGTCTTTGTATGCTAAGTATCGTGTCTAATTTATATTACTGAATATCTGATTCTGACAGATTTTCCCCATGACACCTGAAGTCCATGTTCAACTGAGAGTGATCTGTTTGAATGACCTGCATGGTATGTCTTGAACGATTTCTGTCAAGTTGGAAACCAAGGACATACACTTAGAGAATGCAAAGTCTACAGATGATATGAAGCCAGGCCTAACCATCTGCCTGTGAGGATCACTTTCTCTTTTTCACAAACAATCAGAGGGCAAGAGATGGACCTTAAAGTTCTGATTCCCATATTCAAGATCTCAGTATATTAGGGCCTGGATAACTTAGACTACTTCCTCTTCTAAAATTTACCGCACTAATGTCTTTCTCCTATACTGGTCACATAATCCATTTATTTGCATGTCCAATTAACCGTACCCAACACATTACTTATATTTGGGAAAAGGAGTGTGTTTCTGAACGTATATGATGTTTTTCACGATGTTCTAGGAAAATTAACACAAGAAGTGCTTTCAGAGTATCGTGATGCCAATGCAGTCACAAAAGTAGAGAAGCTGATGCTACAATACGTTGTGCTGGTGAAATTGCTTCTTTGGTTGATATTTCAGAAACCAGAGTTCTTGTATAAACTCATCTTATATTTCAAATGTCTGCATGAATCTTCTTTCAATTTTTTCCCCCAAAATAGGAATGTTCAAGCTCTGATGAACGGGTATATACTTAGTGTTCTATAAACAATAAAGACTTTAATTTATATGGCTTGTAATATCTTATTTTTCTAGTCACAAATAATATATATACATTCAGAAAGATGGAAAATAGAGGTAAGATAAGAGAATAAAAATTCTATAATCACTGGTAGCATGTTGCTGTATATAATTCTGCATGTATTTTCACTTTATTTTTATAAAATGAATCATATTCTAAATACAGTTTTCTAACCTGCTTTTTCCATTTACATATCATGAAGGGAAAATATGCTTTTAATTAAAAATTATTTAGGGCTGAAAGTTAGAGTTTCTTTCTAATTGAGCCTCCTCATTTTCACAGATGAGAAAATTAAACTAGCGAGATTATATAATTAAACTGATTTCCATTTAGGTAGCATTAGAACCACATCTATAATTCAAAACTCTTAAATCCCATGTCACCATTTTATGCATTTTACTCCTTATTTGCTACAACCAACCCTGAAACAATAAATCAGAGTTAGAGAGTGTGAGAAAATCATATCTTCCCCTGATATGTTTTAGCTGGGCTAAATGTTTGCTAGAAAACACCTTGGTAAAGGTCAATTGTCTCAGAATTTATTGAAAATATCTTATAGAAAACACTTTGTAGATTTTACTAATTAGTTTTCAATCTTTAAAGCTTCAAATTGAAATCCGGGTACCGAAACAACAGGGCTTGAGGCAGTGAATCTAGGTGACATCCCAAACTGCTAGAAGTCTATAAAAAATTATTGTCTAACCAGTGTCATAGAAATATGGCTAAATCTAAGTAAGAGTTTCCTGACTTTTAAGTTGGTGACTTAAAAAAAAAAAACATTTATGCTGCAGTAATTTGAGCTAAAGACTTTTAAAACCGGTTCTATGAGTCTTATCAATCACAATCATTTTATTTGCTAAATTTAGTGCTAGAATGACATTATCTGCACATTCTTTGTATAAAAACATCTAGCAGAGCATCTTTTTAGGGGCTTTGTGATTTCAAGAGGCTTTTGGAATTTTATGAAAGTTCCACCCACAATCAAAACCAATGTTCTCTTATGGTTGATTAATTCTGTCAGATGGGTCGGAATTGATATTTCTTTGAATATATGCAAATTATCCTTCATTTAAAGTTTCTGCTTTGTCTTTTTTTTCTCTGCTCCATTTGCTTCTCATTTCTCTTATTCTTTCTTCTCATTTTCCTCTTTACTTCCATTCTCTTAAATCAAAAAATCTTGTGGATTTCCCTTCCAGTTTATTTTTTTGATATAGGAGATATTGAAGTCCTTGAATATATTCAGATTTACAAAGGACATTGACTTACATAGACAGTTTATGATGCTAATTAAAAGAAGGCCTGCATATCTAGACAGAGTCAGAGGATTTGCAAGTAATTTGTTTTCTCAAATAAAAAGAGTGGTTCCAAGTGATAAGAAAAAAAATTGCATTTGCTTAATATATTTATCACCACAAACTTGGTTCCTGAATTTGTCTTACAAATCAGGATAGTAAATTCCAGTAGCAAAGATTTAATTTTGAAAAATCATAACTTCCTTTAACTTTCTTGTATCATCATGAATTAAAAATTTCTAACAACCTCATATGTTCTTCAGTACATATTGTCTATCTTATCCAAAAGGTAAAATGCAGGGGATACAGTTGACTGATGTTTCTTGACCTGCTTATGTTTTGGGAGGACAGGAAACAAATGTTTGTGGTATATTCTACTTGTCAGTATTTTTTAACCAGATAACACAAATGACCAGAACTGCAAAGTTTGCATGTAGGGTAAGAACTGTATGTGATCAGAATGAACTCAAATAATGTTGAGAAATAACAAAAACGATAAGCAATGGATTCCTCAGGATTTTAAAGTCAATGTCATTTCTTTAACAGGATTCTCTTAGATGGGCATGGAAGCTGGGCTCTATGTATGTGCCAAAGATTGCAGACCCTGGGTTTTCATTTCAGTGCATTACTCTTACTGCTTTCAGCAGGCCCTGATGTGCTCATGTAAGTGCAATTATTCAGTTTCCTGTTCATGGATGAAGCTCTGGGACAGAGATTTTCCTCTTAGAGCATAATCCATGGTATGGGGCCTGCTAAGGAAAGCTGCTAAATGCAACCAGCTGCTCTCAAATTATATTCTCCTAAAACATGCTTGAATCATATAGTTCACTGAGCCAAAATTTCCTACATGGCCTCTCTCCATCTCATTTAGTTATTCCACAACTGAGTAACCTGTTAGAAAACTGTGCCCAGGGAAAGGCAAAGCCAAATGATCCATATCTCAGATTCTGGCTGGTTATGATTCAGTGTGATGTGTGGTCAGAATTGTAGATGATGAGGAAAAACAAGAACGTTTCTCCCTTGCCTCAGCCAGTTAATGATGCATTTACCAGTTCATTCTTTTTATACTTGGAGTGTAGTCAACTTGGCTATAGATTTTGTCTAGATTACATTCAGAGAAGAGCAAAACGTATGGTCAACACATATCGTAAGACCAGTGGTATGCTTTCTAAGATGGTTAATGCCAATTGAATCCATCATCATAACCATATTGTATATGTATATATGTGTGGTAAAGGACACATAAAATTACCATTTTAAACATTTAAAAGTATATAATTCAGTGGTATTTAATACATTCATTATGTTGTGCAACCATCACCACTATCTAATTCCAGAATGTTTTCATCACCCCCAAAAGAAATCCTGTACCATCAAATAGCCACTTTCCATTCCCCCCTCCCCACAATACCTGGCAGTCAATGGTCTGCTTTCTGTCTCTAAGGACTTGCCTATTCTGGGTATTTCATATAAATGGACCATACAATATGTGGCCTTTTGTGTCTGGCTTCTTTCACACAGCATGATGTTTTCAAGGTTTATTCGTATTCAAGCATGCATCAGTACTTCATTTCTTTTTATGGCTGTATAATATTCTATTGAGTGGATGTAGCACATTTTCTTTATCCATTTGTTAGTTGATGGTCACTTGGGTTGTTTCCATCTTTTGCCTGTTGTTTTTGGTATTGCTGTAAGACCATAATTTTCAATTTTTACTCAAAATCTGACTTGCTGATTTGTGTTTGTCGGTACCTAAAACCTATGAGGAAGTTTGTTGGGGCTGGGCTTCAAGTTGTAAACTTGCAGGAAATTAAAACCAGAAGTCATGTTAGTTTAAGAGGTCTTGGGAAGATGGTGGATGATAGTGAAGGCATAGTGAGAAGAGACTTTAAGTTAAGGACTTTGGGGCCTCACTTTGGTTCTGCCACCAATAGGCTATGCATGTAATTTGGGGTAGATCACTTCACCTCCCTGGGTCTTTCTTTCATCCTCTGTAAAATGGGAGAGCAAAACTAACGTTTCTTCTAGGATTCAATGCCTGTAATAGGCTGTGCAAATACACTGTGCTCCTTATTATCTAATACACATTTCTCCACCATCATAGCTGCTAATGCTCACACTGCAAAGGAGCAAAGACACTCCTTTTCTAAGGTGTGAACATAAAAGTTTCCTATGAACTGGAGGTGTGAAGGAGGTCATGGCCTGAAATCATTCAAATGCTACGATGGCAGCAGGGGTAGAAATAACACAGCTCAAAATGTGAAAACAGTGATTGCCTCTGTAACCAAGAAACTGAAATAAGTTCTTGAAGCTCAGATTATACAGGCCACAAATATCATTAGAGAAATGGATTCCATCAAATGTTTGGTACTTCCAATGTTACTCTTTAGAGAGAGCTTGTAACTCTTTGAGGTTGGGTGGTTATTCAGCATTAAAGACAATTTTCAGTCACACTCTGAGCTTGCAGTAGGACAAGAAAACATTAGTGACTTGTGACATTTCTGCTTTTGTAAAATGGAAATAATCCTGGGCTATCTCAACTTGTTCCAAATGGGAATCGGGTGTACTCTGAGTTTATCATTCAGGTGGGGTGAGCTGGGGTGCATCATAGGTCAAATACAAGACTATTTACCCTTCCCTTTTTATTTTTTCTTTTTATTTCTTCTTGATGATAAAGAAATAAGATCTACATGCACAGGGATAAACCCTAAATGTGTGATATTGGGCAAGTCAATTAACTTTCAACATCAGTTCTCTGATCCGTAAAATAAAGAGGTTACCTATTTTGAAAATGTCTATTCCTGGCTTTTGATAAAGTCCCTCACCCAAATTATTCATGGTTGGCCATGTTGCAATAGGGGTGAAGGATTAAGACTAAAGCCCAATCCAAATTTAATCTTAGTTTTAGGTGTGAGAAGTTAAGGAGATTGAGGGAAAATCAGAGATGATAATGGCTAAATCAGAAATATAATAAAAGACCATTATATATAAATGGAGATAAGATATTCAAAAAGATTTAATCATATAAAGTAAGGAGCTTAGGCAATTGGAACGTAGATTCTTCCTACAAACGACTTTGTCATTTATTCATTCAAAAATATTTGTTTTCATCTCTACGTAAGTGAAGCTCTGACAGATAGGATTAACCTTCAACTGAAGTGGTTTCAGCATTTCATTTTGTCATTAAGTCAGCAAATAAAACTTAGCTTCCCTGACAACCCTTTTCACTTTACCCTCAGCAAGGTGGCAATGTAGACTGAAAGGACAACAGTAATCTATTCTATTTCCCCACAAAGGGGCTGTCAGAAGGTCCACAGCTCAGAAGCATCCATTTTTACCGGACTTTATGATGTAGATTACAGCTCCCTAGGGACTGAAAATTAATCTACCACATTTAAGTGAGTTCTTGCCCAGCCCATATTTTCACCCTTTAATGGTAATGAAGCTAAAATTTCTTTCCAGTCACTTTGCATATCGTTTCCTTTCTCTTAGCTCTCTTTCGAAGTGAGATGATTGATAGGTCCTTCTTTAGCAATCACTTGAGTAGATGATTTTCTTTTTCCTTTGAAGTCAATTTTGAAAGGAGTTGTACTGTGATGAGCTAATTAGCACAAAAACAGAGTATATAACCTTAATTAGGCATGATAATAGGCTCAACGTAATGGGATGTCCTGAAACTGCAGGCTATGCAAATATTAGACTTTTCATTCCTCCCATTACATCTGAAACCATCAAGCAAAGGATGTTTTGCAGTATGTACCGCAGTCAATGCCAGGTGCACATCTTTCAACAAAAGGTTGGTTTTGGGGTAAGCTAGTTGGGGAAAGGATAATAGGAGGAGGGTTAGGGAAAAAAAAAGCTTAATAAAACTGAAAAGTCCAATTAAGCTCAGAATGAGCTTTATAAATTCAGAGGAGTTTTATAATTAAGTAAAATAATGCAGTTACCCTACCCAAACTATATCTCATCTGGAATTCTGAAGACACCCACTGTAGGCATCACTTGAAATTATGCAAATCTTGAGAGATCTTTCAAATCCAGTAACCACTAAGAGTACTACAAAACCCGTCTGGGGTTTACTCAAACTAGTAGGATACAGGAAGATAGTGAGGAAATGAAATCACAGTGAATCCCCGAGCCCGAATTTTAGCCAATTATTTTCATTTCCTCTGCCACCAACGTTTTTTGTTGTTGTTGTTGGAGCGGTAAAAGTAAATAACAAAACCGACTTTCCCCTTTCTACCCTGAAATGAAAATATCCAAGGATGTAGTACCCCCAGACATTTGAGTATTCAACCACTGAATAACTGAGAGCTTACAATATCCTTAGGTTATGTCTAATGTCTAATTTGGTTTCAGATACTGATGGGAACACCGATAGCAGAAATTTAGTAAGTATGTGAGTATTAGAATAGTCTCTGGTTTAAGTCTGATGTACCACTCATTCATCAGAGATGATAATGAAAGGGTTTATATAACAGCTGAAGTTTGTAACCCATAGTTTTCTCCGTATTTAACCTATAAGCTAACATTTACTGAGCACATACTATAGTCTAGGCAGAGTTTTCAACATTTTATTGGCATAGTCTCACTGAATCATCACAATAACCCTATAAGATAGCTACCATAATTAGCTATATTTATTTTACAGATGAGGAAGCTCAGGATCAAAGAAGTTCAAAAACTGTACCTAAGATCACACATCATGCAGTAGAGTTAGGATTTGAACTCCAGTCATACTCTTCACCACTGTGCTGGGCTTGTTAGTATCTGTCAGTCCCCTGATTGAATCCTTACTTACTAGCCCTTTTCCCAGAGCTGGAAATGAGATGCCAGAAACATAAAATGGGTTGAGACCTAAATTGAAATGCAGAAATTCTCTATCACCTATTATGTACAAAGGAGGCCCTAGTTAGATGCTAGGGTGAATGTGTGAGTGCCATGGAAATAGAATTTGATATAGGTGAGATAGAAGAATTGCACAGAATTGACTGTAATAAATATGTTATTATTGTACATGAGAGAATAGGGAAAAAGTAACTACTGGATGGGAATGAGATCAGAATTTAAATGCAGTTTTTGCTGCTTATCAGCTGTGGGACTAAATCAACCAGGGACTCTACAGCAAACAGGTGGTTCAAATGAGAGATTCAGCAAAAGACTATTTTAAGAGGTATTAGGAGGGTCAGGAATAGAAGATGTTAATGCACACAGATGCTAGCAACCCTGGAAGGTGGTCCACTCCCAATACTGAAAGGACCGGGGAAAGAAATAGTGAGAATTGGCTCATAGAAGGGGCAGGCGGCACTCAACAAAAGCTGTAGCTGTGCAGAGCTACTGTTACTGCCGGAGATAAGGTCCTGAATCTGGGAGAGAGAAGAAATATCCTGATCTCTGCCCTCCTTCCTTTGGATCTTCTTCAGGTGCTTCCCATCTGCTGGTCCCTCCCAGAAGCCAATCTGCCAGGGAACCCAGTTGTCCCTGTGGGTCTGCCTCCCAGGTGGAAAATGGATGTAAGGAAGGGCGGTGGAGAATAACCTTGGGCAAGTCACTTCCTTTCTCTAAATTTCAGTCTGCTTATCTGTGGTATAGTGCCTTCCATAGTAATAGTGGTTCTACAATTTTTGCGTTCAGCTTTTTATTTTGAAAAACTTCAGTATTGCAAAGAATTTTTAAGAATGTATCAGGAACACACAGATATACTCTTCACTTAGCTTCACCAATTGTTAATATTTTGTCTCTGTTGTTTTATTCTTTTTCTCTCTGGGCTAACACAAACATACACCCGTATTTTTGTTGAGCCATTTGAGGGTTACTTACTGACATCCTGAGACTTTATCCCTGAATGCTTAAGCAAACATCATATAAAAACAGAATGTTTCTCTACAAAACCCCAGTTAAATGATCACACTCAGCAAATTTAACATTAATACAATCCTATTGTCAAATATAGTCTAAATTCAAATTTCCCCAAGTGTCTCTATAACGTGCTATGTAATTATTATTTTTAAATCAAGGATCACACATTGGATTTTATCATCATGTCTCCTTAGTCTCCTTTAATCTAGAACAATTTTCAAGGTTTTTTCTTCTTAAAATCTTTCACGATATTGACATTTTTGAAGAAGCAAAGGCCCATTTTGAAGGCCAGTTGTTTTGCAGAATGATCCCAACATGGATTTGCCTAATTGTTTTTTCACGATTAGATTCAATTTAACCCATTTTGGCAATACTACTACAGATGTGTCGTGTTCTTCTCAGTGCGTTATATCTGGAGTCACATGATGTCAAAATGTCTCATCATGGGTGATCTTTAGTTTGATCACTTGGCTAAAGCAGTATCTGCTAGATTTATCCATTATCTTTTCCCCTTTGTAATTATCAAATAATCTATGGGATGATACATGTGAAAAGAATATATCTTTTTCACCAACATGCTTTTTATCTAGTGTTTTTCAAAACAATCGAATTTTCTTGCTATTGCAGAAATAGTTTCATGAAAGTATAATTAGGGAACCTGGTAAGCTTCTTTGAAAGTTCCTATTGCAACCTTCATGTCTTCTTATATTAAACTGTTTTCACTCCTTTATCTATGCATTTAACAAATGTTTATAGAGCGTTCACCTGAAACCTTGCCTGTGAAATTTTCATCAGTGGCTTCATGGTTGCCTAAACTAATGTCTTAACTCAGATCATTCTCCTGTGCTCCAGACCATGTCAGCAATCATTTTGGAGTCTTTCCCCCTTACATTCTGTAGATAAACTCAATGTACCCAAATGGAACTCATCATCTTCATTTCCTGATCTGCTTATGTTCCCTATTCCCGGAAATTGTAGCTCTGTTTTCTCAATGAGCTTTCTTGAATGTCCAGATACCATAGTAGTTCTTTTATACATACTATATGCATTATCTCATTTAATCCTTACAACAGCCTTGAGTTGTAGTCACTATTTTCTGGAAGACATTGGGCTCTGAGCCCCAGATCAACGGCTAGCAAGTCTTCATACTAGGATTCAAATCTAGTTCTCTTGGACATTAAAACCTTTTCTTTAGTGCAGTGATTAACAGCATTTCCCACTTCAGATCCTGGCTCTACCACTGACTATGGGGGATTGGATAAATTCAAGTCTCAGTGCCTTGGTTTTATCTTTTATAAATTGAGAAAACCTATGATCCCTGCCTTGTTTTGAGACTTGAATGAGATAAAATTGACAAACATTTGAACTGTCACACTACGACAGTACCTCTTAAGCCATAAATTTGGTGTTCTCTATGCATTCACTGCCTTTGGAATAGTCCTCTTAGGAACCTGTCACCACTGCTGTCGCTGCCTTACTTTAACACCAGGAATTGGCAAACCATGGTCTGCAGGCCAAATCCAGCCTCCACCTGTTTTTGTAAATAATGTTCTTTTTTTTTTTTTAAATTAGGGTATAATTGATATTGTGAATAATGTTTTATTGGAACATAGCCATGCCCTTTCATTTATGTATTTTCTGTGGCTATTTTCACCCTATAACAGTGGAGTTGAGTAGTGGCAACAGGGACCATATGACTTGCAAAGCCTAATATGTTTACTGTCAGTCTTTTTACAGAAGAAGTTTGTCAATTCCTGGTTGCCTGGGGTATCGCAATAGCCTCCTTCTTGGTTTTCCTGGTTACATCTTACTTCTTCTTGAACTTATCCTCCCCATCCTTTCTCCCGTGCAAGCAGGAATTCCCCTAAAATGTGAACTCAGCCGTGCCAACTTGCTCCTTTTTGGTGCATTCGCCCTCAGTGCTAAGAGCATCAGCTTCCACCTACTGTGGATTCCCATACTTGTCTTGTCCTCTGGCCATAATGAGCGCTTTATGCCCTTTCCAATCTTGGCACGTATTGTTCTTTTTGTTTCAATACCCAGCCCTTGCTCTTGCCCTCAATAATAAGCTCAGGTTTTACTTTCTCTGAGAAGCCCTTTCTGACTTCCACAGGCTGAACCAATGGCTTCTGCTCCTCTATGGCTGTGCAAGATACTTCAATTCCAGCATTTCTCTATTCTGTCATGATCATGGGTGTAACTATCTCCCACTCCTTCTGCTGTGTCTCCTCTCAAGGGCAGGAACATACAATTTTCACTTTTGTATCTTCAGTGACCTATCTGGGATCTGGCCCCTAGTAAAAGCCCATTAGGTTGCTCTTGCCTGTTGGCATCTCAGCTGGGTTGGAAGGCTTATATAAGGTGGTAGGGGAGTACAGAAAAAGGCCTCAGGAGAGGCTGTCATGTTGGTTAACTCCTGGATGATGAGAAGGAGGATTAGATATTGGGAGAAAATAGGCATTGGAACTGCATAAAGTTGATGAGATCCAAAAGAGGTGTTTTGGAGAGAGGACACACGGAAGAAGGGGTCATGTGTGGGAATGCTGGAAGACAGGCTCACAGAGGCATTAGGTCCATATTCTATAAAGCCTCCTCTGCTGTGCTGAGCTGTATGGACAATGGGAAACCGTGAAGGGCTGGAATAGGCAAACATCATAGTCATGCTGTAACTGTTTGCATGTCAATCTCCTAGAAGTCCCTTAAGGCATTAATTGTGTTTTGTCTGGTCCCCATTCAATCTAAATGCACATACCATATAACTGGCATAGGTTTTCAATAAATGTCTCTTTTGTTATTGAAGCATATGAAAACTCATCAGTTTTAAGGTAGGTGGCCCCAATGTTTAGTATTCTCTTATAGGATGAACACTTGTCCTGTTTACAGCTTTCATACATTTAGGAACTTCAGTCATATTTAACCTTAGTTCTTGGATTTTATACTTGAAAAATTCTCTTTAGAAAAAAAAATGTCCATCTTCTTATGGAAGAATCTCTTGGATCATTTTGGCTGATGTTTGCTGGAATGTCTCCAACTCTATTTTGTCTTTGTTAAGGCTTTCAAGAGTACCCGAATTCTTTCCTAATTTGCAAACCAGAAGCAAAATCATTCATTTCTTATGATTTTGGTATTTTCTCTCAACAAAATGCTCAATGGAGCTTGGAGAAATAAACTCTTATTTGTAAACTTGCCAGAGATGGTGAATACAGAGCTTTTATTACTAATGTCTACAGACTACTGCTGTCATTGGGTCAAGGGCTCAGAACCAGCAGCTTCATAGTTTTGGAGATGTGAATGAAGTGAATTGGGCGGTAAAAGATGCCTAGATAATTGGACATAATTGGGACTTAGGGAGACTCCTGCACTCCAGGAAATTCTCCAAGTCTCCACTTATCCTCAAAGTGAGCAAGAAGCTTCAGTTTCAAATTGAGTGCATTTTCCATCCATGGATTGGCTTGTTTTGTTCAGTTTTACTTTGAGTGTTTGAGGTTATCTTTTCGACGTAACAGCTAAACCCACGACTTCCTTTCTCGTAAAACCAAAACAAAAAGGCTTTCTATTCAGGTGCCTCTTGTGTGTGCACATGTATAGTACATACCTGGGATCAAAGCCAACTATATAAAGTCCTTGATTCTGTGTGGGTTCAAACACATTTCAAAGCTTCAGGATCCTGAAAGGTTTCACTCTGCTTCCTGAAGACCTGAACACTGCTCCCATAAAGCCATGGCTTGCTTTGGATTCCGGAGGCATGGGGCTCAGCTGGACCTGGCTTCTAGGACCTGGCCGTGCACTGCTCTGTTTTCTCTTCTCTTTATCCCCGTCTTCTCCAAAGGTGAGTGAGGCTTTTGGAGCATGAAGGTGGAGGAGGTGTTTCTCCCACTTGGGTTTCATTTCTTTCAGCAGTCAAGGGCAGTGATTTATAACAAAGCCAGAAGCTAAAGGTAAAACTCCAAACTCCTGGCTTGGATAACTCTGTATTCCAAGACAGCAAAGGGGACAGCTGGCAGCAGCAAATGAGCAGAGATACAGCTCATAGCAGAGTCCCAGGCACTGACTAGGAGCTTAATAGATACATCTGAGTTGGTTTGGGAGACAAGCAATTTCATACACTTCTGTATGATTGGAAGAAATTACTGTAAAGTTAAGTGAGTTAAGAGGAAAGATCTCCACAGTCCTTAATATATTTGAGCTTGGAATCAGGGTGAGCTCAAGATTTTCCTTTTTCAAAAACATTGACTTAAGCAAAACATATCAAGTTTCTTTCCTACCCGATTTGAGATTTTAAGATCCTCGAGCTCACTTTTATAAATGAATTGGCTTATTTAAAATTTAAGCCTTCTTTACTCAATTCAAAGTCTTAAGGTCTTCAGTCAATTCTATAAACTAGTTAGCTAATTATTTAAAAAATGAAAGCAGTTTGAAACCATAACACACACACACACAGAGAGAGAGAGAGAGAGAGAGAGAGAGAAAGAAAGAAATAAAAGGAAGAAGAGAAGAAAGAACACCATCAGTCTGTTTAGCCTAAGATACTTAATTGCCACCTGACCTATCTGTGGATTTCAGATGCAGATTCCCCAGTTTTCAGATGAAATAAAGCTCTTTACAGGTTGATTCTAGGTTTGCTACATATAAAATGATGAGCATTCTCACTGAATTTCAACCTTCTCTCTCTCTAGACCATATCAGTTAAGAAACCATGTGGTTTGTACGATATATCTTGGATGCTTAAAGGTATTCCATAATTAAATTATTACCAATAATATTATAAGAAATATTTATATACATTTTCTTATTCTACATGTTTTGAACATGTAAAGATTAAATACTCTTAGAAGTAATTACCTTTACTTTGTAGAAAATTTATCTCCACCTGTTACTGAGATTCTCCCGCTGAAAAATCGAGTGTGACCAGATTTACTGGTGATAATTGGGAATTTGCCTGGGGGCTGGGGGGAGGGCAGCAAACTTGGTCTTTAGGCTTAGCATCAATACAACAAAGATTATTGGGTGCTCATATGGGCAGATTATAATGGCCGCTCCTAGGAGTTATAAGCCAAAGGCGGAAGCTGCAAATTAGTGCGCAAAAAACTTTAATATGGGATAGAACTTGATTAAATACTGTGACGGATTTATAACAGTGCAAAAGATGCTCAGAGGATGCTCAGGGGATGCTCTGATAGACTGAGATGAGGGTTGGGGAAGAAGACTGTTATCTAGCCAGCCAGGGCTGCTGGATTAATTCTGGCAAGGGCTGCTACCATGTTGTTCTCTCTTGTGAGGACAGACGTTGTCCAGTTCAGGTACTTGGGAGAAAGGACTAGTGATAGAGCGATTTCTATAGAGTCATTTATACATAGGAAGAGGTGTCCTGGAAACTCAGACTGGAGTGATAGGTTGGGATTAGATCATAGAGGACATAAATGCCACTTATTTCATTTGTTTTTGCAGTCAATGGTATGCAAGGCATCAAAGTGTTTGAGCAGAATTAATTAGTGGCATGTTTCATCCAAGTGTTGAGTGTCACTTGTATGATCGACTGGAGAGGGGCTGAGTTAGTTGCAGGAAGGTAGTTTGACATGAAGCTAAAGTTTTTTTAGATGATGCAAGCCTTTTTGAATTGAGAGCTGGCTTCCTTTATCCTGTAGAAGCCAGAGGGAGGAAGAACAAAGGAGCATGGGAGTGTTCAAGTGGAGGAGAGAGTGGCGGAAGAGGTGGTGGTGGCGGCAGGGGAAGCCCACAGAAGTTAATAGTAGGGTTGCCTCAACCTAGAGAGGAAACGACCCGGTGCCCTCTGCTCTGTGGCTTCCTTCATCTAGCAGCGTCCCTCCTTCTGATAATAATGCTGGGAAAGGTGACATCCGGTGCAGTGACCTGGGGCTCAGCCTCTCTGGCCAGGTAAATATAGGCAGAGGTTTGTGACGTATGCATTGAGAGGTAAGGTGAAATTCTGTACCTCAACCTCCAAAATTTCCCCTACTGCTCATTAAAGTTCCTGTAGTTCTGTGATAACCATAGAATATCAGAGGTGGAAGGCACTCTGTTCTCATCTGACCTAATCCTCTCTTAGTACATGTGAAGGAAAATGAAGGCTACAGGGGAGGCATGACTCACCCCAAATCAAGTATATTTCATGGTAGGGCCTGGCCTTCAGTTTGTCACATCAATGTTCTTCCTGATACAACCAACTGCCTTCAAGAAACTCTGTTCTCTAAGGAAACACCTTCATGGAGATGGGCTGGAAGTCAGCTGAGTGATGGAGGGGATGGATGGGGAGAGAAGGGAAGGGATGAAGAGTATTGGCTGAAGGGAGGGAAGGACTGGAAGGTGAAGCTGGAGAGTGTCCATCAAAGATCCACTTCCCTCAGCCAGAGATTTTGCCTGAGCCTGGTCGCGGGTGAGCAGGAGTTCACTGAGTTCCCTCTAATTTTCCCTTGCTAGGGATGCATGTGGCCCAGCCTGCAGTGGTGCTGGCCAGCAGCCGAGGTGTCGCCAGCTTCATGTGTGAATATGGGTCTTCAGGCAATGCCGCCGAAGTCCGAGTGACTGTGCTGAGGCAGACTGGCAGCCAGATGACTGAAGTCTGTGCTGCGACATACACAGTGGAGAATGAGTTGGCCTTCCTAGATGATTCCACCTGCACTGGCATCTCCAGCGGAAACAAAGTGAACCTCACCATCCAAGGGTTGAGGGCCATGGACACGGGACTCTACATCTGCAAGGTGGAGCTCATGTACCCACCACCCTACTATGCAGGCATGGGCAATGGAACCCAGATTTATGTCATCGGTGAGCAAAACCTTATCACTAAGCTTACACCTTTTGCATTGCTGTCTTCTTTGCATGAAAACAGTTTTGTTCCTCAACTTCAGGTGGTTCATTTTTAGGATTATGGAAATTCTCCTTAAGAGTTCTTTGGCATACTGCATGGGAGTCTGATTAATGGGTGGTGACCCAAACAGCGTTCTGACTAAAACTAAAATGGGTTGGGGATAGTGTTTTTTTCTACTGGAGGTTGGGGCACTTACTCTGGAGTGATAAGCACTGTGAAATTTGACTTTGGGTCTTTGATAGGACACTCCTGTAGAAGTGGCCCCCAGCAGTCAGACTTACTTAGGGGTGGACACCAAGGTCTGGAAGCTCTTTTTTTTCACTAATGGGGGGGGGGGGAGTAGGGCCCTTAAGTTTAAAGAGAATCTCAAGGAAGCTGTGCTTTGTCTTCTGTTGCAGATCCTGAACCTTGCCCAGATTCTGACTTCCTCCTCTGGATCCTCGCAGCAGTCAGTTCAGGATTGTTTTTTTATAGCTTCCTTATCACAGCTGTTTCTTTGAGCAAAATGGTGAGTGCAATGCTGACAACACAACACTTCTGGTGGGGATGCCTCCAGTGATAGCAACTGACCGAATGATGCTGTTGAGTTCAGTTTTCTGGAGATGAAGCAATAAATGCAGAACAGTGGTAAAGGAAGGGCAGTGGTAAAGAACACGCTAGAACCCTTGGCATTGGCCTTTGAGGTTTCAGGATGACTAACATTTTAGATGAGTGTGTTTGACATTGAATGTTTGTGTGCTTCTGAACAGGGTTTCAGTTTGAGTAACCATTTGAACAACACGGGGCAGCTGTTTTGCACTTTATCTTCAAGACAATTGTACTTAAAAACCCTGAAATATAAGATTAAGTTGGACAAAATGCTGCTATAGAAGACCACTGGATGGATTTTAGTCTCCCCCTTCATGTCACTCCACTTCACCTGGAAGCCATCCCTTGGTGCCACCCTGCTTGTGCCTTCCTTGTCCAAGCTGTAGCTGTCCACCCAATACCTGTCCAGGGCTCCCTGTTATCCAGTCTGCTCAAATGGAGAGTCTTGCCCTCCCCTCTAGCCCAGTGAATGAGAATACAAGGTTTTATTTATTGCAGTGTTGGTGGAAGAGATGGAAATATGGAATCAGGCCTCCTATCGGGATTTCTTTTTGGTGGTTCCTTTCATCTACCTCTGTCTATGGCTTGCTTTTGTCAACACAAACTTCTTCCCTGCTTCTCTTTCTCTCCCTGGCTTCCTGTCTTCCCCTCCCTCTCCTTCTCTCCCTCCCCTTGCCCCTCACTGGATTCCAAGATCCTCTACTCAACCTGTTCAATTGCTGTAGATTCTTCTTACCTCATTTTCTAGAAACTGCCACATGGACACAGAATCTCAATTTACGGAGGTGATAAAAAATGGGCACTAATGTGGGCAAAAAGTTATAAAGAGTATATGAGGAGTGGATATGAGAAATACAGCTCTTGAACAGAGTAACTGAAGTTTATTATCTTATCAAGCTCCTCCCCTCACAGATAAGATGTGGTTGATCACCATAGGCATTTTGGGTGTCCTTTTTAAAGCTTTCTCAAAGTCTCTTACTCCTCTCTTGCAGCCAGGGAAAATGATTGCCATTTTACATCAATAGCACAGAGTTATTTACCTAAAGTGAGTTGTAATAGCTGAATCAAGAAAATCTTCTGGGGCTTATAATTCTGTATGTGGTGAACATTCATTTTTCAACAGGGTAGGGACCCAGTATTTGGTGAGTCCTATTATGTCTAGAAATGGCTTCTGTATTTCTCAATAATAATTACTGTTTCTTTTTTGCATTTGGCAGCTAAAGAAAAGAAGCCCTCTTACTACAGGGGTCTATGTGAAAATGCCCCCAACAGAGCCAGAATGTGAAAAGCAATTTCAGCCTTATTTTATTCCCATCAATTGACACACCGTTATGAAGAAGGAAGAACATTGTCCAATTTCTAAGAGCTGAGGCAATTCTACCTTTTTGCTATCCAGCTATGTTGCTTATTTGTGTATTTTGGGGGGGGATTCATCTCTCTTTAATATAAAGCTGGATGCAAAATCCAGATGAAGTGTACTACAATTTGAAGCAAAGGTGCAGGAAAACAGAGCCAGGATGTTTCTGTCACATCAGATCCAATTTTAGTAAAAGCATCACTCGGGAGCAATATAGGGATGCAGTCTTATGTTGTAGGTGAAGGATATGGGTTAGGGGGTGGTGCTGTCCAAAGAATACAAAGGAAGAGAGTTAGGGAGAGGATGATATTGTACACACTTTGTATTTATACATGAGAAGTTTATAGCTGAAGTGATGTTTTCAAGTTAAAGTTTTGTGCTGTTATTTTTCTTAAATGTGGAATTACATGAAGACTTTAGAAATACTCACGTGGCTATATTTTAGCCAGTGATTCCAAAGGTTGTATTGTACCAATATGTATTTTTTTTTATTTGATAGTATTGTGCATGGGGGCCACATGTGCTTTTGTGTATTTGCTGATGGTTTTAATATAAACACTATATGGCAGTGTCTTCCCACCATGGGTTCAGGGAAAGTTTTATGGAGGGGCTCAGGACACTAATACACCAGGTAGAATACAAAGTCACTTGGTAACTGGCTTGGAAACTGGATGAGGTCATAACTGATTCTTATAGACACATTGAGCTGAATTGGTGTTGACATGTGCTTTGGGCTTTTATGTTAGCTCCTTTCAAAGGTTTGCAAGGGAGTCCAGACTGGTGTATCTGATGTAACTCAATAGAACACCAACCTCAAGAAAATGGCTCACTCCAGGGGTCTTGTAGGTATGAACTTCAAGGAAGCTCTAGTTTCACAAGGGCCCCAATTCCTAACACATGGTTCATGCCATGGACAGAAAAAAGCAGCAGGTGGCAGAACGGGGTGATGAAAGTTTCTAAAAACTAACACTGTTGGTGTTTTTTAACTCATTATTTTCCATGAAAATGCAACAACATGTATAATATTTTTAATTAAATAAAAATCTGTGGTGGTCATTTTCCAGAGTTGTCTTTATCTTCCTTAGATTTGAATATTGTGTTTCAGGGTTTTTTTTTAATGTTTTTATTTTTGAGAGAGAGAGAGCGTGCAAGCATGAGCATGGGAGGGGCAGAGAGAGAGGGAGACATAGAATCTGAAGCAGGCTCCAGGCTCTGAGCCGTCAGCACAGAGCTCGACGTGGGGCTGGAACTCACGAACTGTGAGATCATGACCAGAGCCGAAGTCAGACGCTCAACAAACTGAGCCACCCAGATGCCCTGTTTGAGTTTGTTTTTAATTGATCCATTCAGCTGTCAGTGAAGTCTCCATTATTAGGAATATTGGGAACAAATTGATAAAAAGGCAAATAATGCTTCATGAGTCAGCTGTCCATCAGCCATTATCTGCAAGCCATTTTTGGAAGGAACTCCTCCTCTGTCCGTTTGGTTTCTTTACAACTATTTGAGATACAAAGGGGTTAGTGCAGATACAGCAGCGTTTATAAGTCACACAGCATTCTCTTTAGCATAAGTTCTCCATCTCCCCTTTCTTGCCCACGCACGACTTCCTCAGCGTGGCTCCTACGGTTGCCATGGCAACTCCTCTGTTGTCTATTGTGTTCCTCGCAGCCATTTTGATCTGCTTCCAAAGTAAATGGAGCTTTTTCTTGTGGCTTCCAAATGGACTATTTCACAAATGTGGGGAAAACATACCTGTGGTCCCGTGTTTTGCTATCAGCTGGCAGACGGGGGCCTGACCCACTGAGCACTCTGTGATTCTTGGTTAACCAATATGTGGCCTCAGTCTGCTTGGTTTCCTCTCAAGGTTTCTTATTCTTGACCTCTATATCCTGTTATTGTCTTGTGAAATGATTGTCAGTGTGGCCAGGGACCACCTGTAACTGAATCAACTGGGTCACTTAGTAAAAATGTTAATTCAAGTGCTTAACCTCAGATGCATTGAATCAGAAGCTTTGGGTGATAGGACCAGGAGTGTGCTCTCCCAGCAAGCTCCCCAGTGCTTCTTATACTCATCAAATTTTGACAATCACTGTGCAGGCAGCCCCCTCACCCTCTTGCTACCCAGAGCGCGCTCTATCTCTCTCTCTTTTTTCAGCAAGTGCTAACAAACAAATGGGACGGCACATATGAGAATTTCACAAAGATTTTAAAAATAAAAATGAATTTGTCTTTCAAAATATGTAGTCACAATTACCTAGAAAGAGCTCCTACTAGGTCAAAGACTGTACTTCTTGCCCTCTTAAGCTTTGATTGGAAGCCATGGAGAAACACACAATTTAGAAGCCCCAGTGGAGAGAGTGATACTATTTCTACTTCTTTAAATGTCTTTAGAGAGAAAATTCTTTTCCATCTTTGATGGCAAATTTAAATGACAAAGGGCCTTAGATGAAGGACCTCTCAGGTATCTTTCAGACAACATTAGACCATGGACTACTTTATATAAGCTTAATACCTGAAATTCTGCCATTAGCTATTGAGTTAAGCATCACCCTCTCTATTCAGTATTAGCTTAAAAAAAAATCTTCCTTAACTCAAAAAAGTTTCCTTTGAGGCAGAGCAAAAGGGCAAGAAAGACTGGGACCTGGGCTTCCACTGGAAGGGGAGATAGAAAATATAGAGGTTTTGGGGCATCAAATGAAAGCCTCTTCTGATCCCCATTTTTTTTTTTCTGAGGATAGATCCTTTACCTGCAATAATCAGAGAGATTCATTGCCCCCAAATCAGAGGACCAACTTTTTCATGGCATGTCAAACGTCATCACTATTTCCAACTCTGGCATCAGGGTCCTGGGGAAGCCCAAAGACTCCACTCATCTCAATAGGGCTTGGTTCACCATGGAGAGGAAGGCTGGGTACCATAACACTTTTCCCTTGAACCACTGCTCCCAGGTAGGAATGTGGATGACAAAGGGAACATGCTGGAGCTACCAGCGCTGCCTGGATCAGCCCCTACTCCAGCATCTCCCGGAACATACCTCTGCTCCCCTCCCTTCTTCCAACATGACACTCTCCTTTCTGCTACTTCTTATTTCCCTATTTCTCACCCCCAAATATCTTTAGCCCTCATTTTCACATCCAAAAAGATTCATTTCAAATTCTTCATCCAGCATCAGATTTGCTGACACGTCAAGCCCACGTTGATCTCTCCCCTTCTGTTTCACGGCTATACTTGGTTTCATCTCTAATAATTTCAAGTGTGCATGTCTTTTCTCCCTAGCTCCAGTGGGAACGTCTCCAAAATAGGAAACAACACAGCTTCAGGCATCCAGAAGACGCTCAAGTCGACATATTGAAAAGTTGGGAAGCTAGGACATCTGGGACTGTGAGAGGACAACTGCCTTCCATGTTTTCTTGGTCTCAGTCTAATCTCTTTCCCATTTGACCAGAAGAATTGTGTGTGGGTCAGTCTATCACTTGGCTTGAACCTTGAAGACTCTGGAGTGTGAGCCCCAGCTGGCTGCCCTGCTTCAAAAATTTCACTTTTATCTCAATCCAGCCTTCCAATAATTTCTTCTTCTTCTTTTTTTCTTTTGAGAGGGGAAAGGAGATGAGTCTCGTCGTTACTGCCTTTCTTTTTTAAACCGTAGGTTGTTGCTAGAACAGACTATATTTTTATACTGTGTCTGAGCCTTCTTCCACCCTCACAGTTGATACACAACTTACTTGGGACAGAACTTGCAAAATGTTGATGTCACTGTGCTGTTAATTGGAGCAAAGCCAGCTAAAAAACTTAAGAAGTTATACATTTAAGTCGTTGTTTTGGCAGGTCTCAAAGCAAAAGAGAAAATGGCTTTCTCTGGAAAGTTATTCCCATTGCCTCACTTCTCTTTTGCACCTGCTGCCCTGGGGTCCTTGTTTTACTTATTCTTTATTTTGTCTTATCTTAGGCCAACTTTTTCTGTTCACACCAGAAGGATGACACATTCTATTAATGGAGAGAGAGGAAAGGTTTTTTCCTTTTTCCTTGATGTGACTTTGGCTGCAGGCTGGGACAGGAGTTTATAGGTAGATTTGCCAGATTCAGCCAACCCCCCACCAAACAAAAAGCCACAAACCCCAAAAACAGGATGCTTTATGTTTGATCTGACAACCCTATCAGCAGGAAAGTTAATACCTCTAATGTGGTGTGAATAAAACGTGCTGGAGACCTTCCGCAGAAGTTTCTGGGCAGGAACAACCTGAGAATGACTGCTTTTTCAATTCTAACACTCTGCCTCTCCTGTTCCCATTCCTGGGCATGTGTGGGACTGCTACTTAGTGTTGTTGGGGGCAACAAAGAGGGGGCAGCTATTAGTTTTCCAAATGTTTTTCTTAGAAGAATTCAACCCACTCTGGTCTATATGGTCAGAAGTCCAACATTCAGACCCTTCTTGGAAATCTTTGCTTTCCTGGGTACACTCTATTATAGGTATTCTTGTATTTATTGTGTTTGGTAATTATTTGGAGCATTTAGAAAAAAATGAGGATTGAGGTGCCTCAGACCCAGAGCTTCTCATTTATAAGATTGGAGACAAGACCTAGGGATTTTAGTTATCCAGCAAGTCTTGGCATCATACTTTCAGCAGTCCTGGTCTAACTCAGGATCCTACCATAACAGATGATTAAGATTGGAGAAGGGACTTGGGGAATTATCTTTACGTTTCAGAAGAAAATGAGGCTCAGAGACATTAGCAACCTTGTTCTCCAAGTCCCCAGGGGAAGACAGGGTTTGAACCAGGCTGAGAATCAGGTCTCTAGGTTTTCACATCGAGGCTGTGCATTGGGTGACACTATGAACCTTTCTGCCCAGGGGCTGTGTTTTTCAGGCTGCCTTGGAGTGTCACTATCACCATTCCAGCCTGCCCCCAGAAAACCTGCTTTTCCTCCCACGCCCACCCCAGCTGCTCTGGTAAGCCTCTTTGTGATGGTTACTGCTGTTTCCCATCTTGGCTGTATCTTTTCTATCTCTCCCTTAACTTTCCAGGGCAGTAGCAACAGAGTCTCAGGTGATGCAGCCTGTCCTCAGCAAAGCTACAGAAGAATGCAGCAGAGGCAAACAGAAAGCACACCACTGCCAAGATTCTGCCAGCAAAGCCAACAGTATGCTGAGAAAGCTTCCAAATTCTGCGGGAAGTCATGTAACAGCCCAGTGAAAGGATACGGGCTCTTTTTATCACACGCAATCAGGTCGCCATAGCAACCAACAGTGTTTTAAAAACACGATATTAGTCCTACAAAAGAATCTTATCTAGTCGAACAACAAGAGGAGGCTCTCTCCGGGAGATATTGTAGGAAACATATTTCAGGAGGCAATTTCACATTTTAGAAAGCAACACAAATGATTTCTCATGAACAGCACTTTTCTGAGGATGTTTCCTTCCTCTTAGTGCTTCACCTTGATGATATTTTAGCCTGTGCTGCAGTCATCCCACTGTTAGCTTGTTTTTTTTTTTTCCAACTTGTTGAAAATAAATCTTGCTTTCCTTCTTTGTAGTTAACTTGCAACTCAGACAAGGTCTCGAGTTTCCTATGAACATCTTTTTCTGTCCCTGGCACATCGAAGTGACCTCCAACCGAGACTGGACATTGAAGACAGGAAACTTGGGTTTGTGAAGAAAGAGCAGTATTCTCTAGTATTGCTCTCCTGTAGAGGAAGCTGCCATGGTGGCTATACTTCACGAGGTCCTTATTCTGAATGAAGAGGGAAAAGAAACCAACTTGTGAAGCCATTAACACCACGTGGGTGTACACTGGCCTAAGCAATTCTCATGACATCTCTGCAGAGGAGGGACTGCCAGCATTCTCATTTTACAGATGAGAAAACTGAGGTTCACAAAGGTTTTATTACTTCATGATGTTTTTACCAAAGGCACATAACTAGTAAGCAGCAGAGTCAGGATTAGAAATGATGGTGAATTCCAAAGCCCACTTTCTTTTCCAACAACCGTTATCTTAACTCTGGGGGTTACCTGTGAAAGGAAGACGGCAACACGGAACGTAAATGGGGATTGGAGTGCTAGGGAAGTA